TGTCTCAAATTATAGATAATTAAATATTAATCCTGATCTATGTATGAAAAGAAACACAACTGGCCTACATCTCACAAGAATCCATAAATCCTAACCAAAGTGACGACACCGATTCACCTTGATCCAACAAACCAACTCCAGTGGCGATACCGAACCACTGGTAACAAGTCATGTAACTAGCCATCCTATAACAGGTCACTGGTTCACATCTCACACAGAGTCAACGCTCATATCATCGGATAACTGACTGTTCACAAATCCTCTACGTGCATCCAATCCCGCTACACATGCGGCCTAGAGGACTACATGTAAACAGTTTTCTGCCTGATTCGAACTTCAAACAGAACCCGAGTGACGAAATGATTTCACTGACTAAAGTGATGTACACACTTCACTTTGTTAATTTGTCGAACCATCATGCTGAACCATGCTAAGGGACCTATAGGTAATTTTATACGCCTACAGGGTGGAGTGTATGAGAACTAAGGCGCACGTAATTCATCGGCTACCATAACCAAAATTATGTCACCATTACAAAAGCTATGGAATACCAAGTGAACCGTAAGCCATTTTGAAGTTTTCGGTTGTATGCATTATGCCTTTGTGCTTCATCACAAATGCAACAAGTTCGACAAAAAGGTCATAATGTGTATTTTTATGGGGTATGACTGTGAAAGAAAATGATGGAGATGCTGTAATCCCATAGCTGGATGGTGTTACATACAAAGAAATATTATGTTTGATGAAGCCTCATCTTCGCAGGCTCCACAAGAAGTTACACTGCCATATTCTAACGATCCGGAGGATCGACTACAAGAGAAGTTGGGAAAGCGAAGTTAAGAAGAAGACTTACATCAATCAGAGAAGGTAGAATCAAGTTCTTCAATATCCTCAAAGGATAATAATCTATAGAAGGCTAATGTTTATTAGACAACACCGGAAGAAATGTTCCCGATACAGATAGAGGATATGAAGAAGAACCAATAGAACAACATTGAAGATCAATTAGACTAAGGAAGCCAAATCATAAGTATGCTAATGCTGCCGTTATGGAAGATTTGAAGGAGCCATTTAGCATTGACATGCAAAATTGCTAATAGAGAAAAATAATGGAGGATGAAATTCAAGCCATGTAGTAGAACCAAACTTGGGATTTGATGCCAAAGCCTAAGAATGTCAGACCTATTTTTTGCAAATGGATTTACAAGGTCAAGACTCGACCGGATGGGTCAATTAAGGAATACAAAGCATGCTTAGTGGCTCAACGATTCTCTCAACAGTATCAGGTTTATTATGATGAGACATTCAGTACAGTTGTCAAATAACAATAGTTCGAGTTCTTCTAGCTCTGGTAGCCAGCAAGAGTTGGAAACATTGGCAAATGGACATGAAGAACATATTTCTACATGGCAAAGTGGATCGAGAGATTTATATGAAGCAACCCATTGGAATTGGGAGCAAAGAGAAAGAAAGATATGTTTGCAAACTAAAGAACGCTCTCTATAGACTGAAGCAAACTCCAAGAGGTTGGTATTGCAAGACTAGTGAGCTCTAAATTCAAAGTGGATACTTTCTTTCCCCTATAGATCCTAGTGTCCGAGAGGTTGGTCTTGGTTTAGCAACTACATCTTAGTGTAGCAAAAGAGAATCAACAGTGTCACTATCAACTACAGAGGTGAAGTACAAATCAGCAGCGATGACAGCTTTGGAAAGTAAGTGACCTTTTTAGTTAATGAGGGATCTACATTAGTCCACAGACTACTTAGTAGCTTTACATTGCGATAATCACTCTGCAATGTGATTGACAGAGAATTCAATTTTTCATGTTAGGATTAAGCATATCGAAGTACACCATCAGTTTCTACGAGAGAAAGTTCTTCAAGAGGAGATCATAATGAAGCCGCTTGGGGCAAACGAACAAATAGTTGATATATTTGTTAGACCCTAGAGGGGGGTGATTAGGGTCTTATGCTAATCTAATCCGATTTAAATGCCAATTAAAATTAATTAACAAGTTATATTCTTGCAAGATAGGTGTACAAAGGGTTATGTGCAAGAATATGCAATATACACAAGGTGATATATCCTATATGATAGAAATATATGCAAGGATATATAAACAATAAGATATATCCTAACAACGAGATATAGACAATGTAAGTGCAAGGATATAAAACTAACACAAGGGTAAATACTCTAAACTAGATAGTGGATCATAAAAAGGACGAGTAATGCACAATTGGCGATATAAGATAAATGCAAAAATAACTACGCCAAAGACAAACTCAAACAAGCAATATGATCACGGAGTTCGGACCTTCCGTCCTACGTCTCCGCTCCCCACTCCCGGGGAGAAATCCACTATCAACCGGGTTTTCTACGTTCACCCGAATAACGTTTGCACCTCACAGTATCGGTTTTCAACGCTCACCGATCAACGTCACTCCTCACACTCGGTTTCTAGCTCACCGAAAACCTCACTACACACACTCGGTTTCTAGCTCACCGAAAACCTTACAACACTCACAATGTAACAAATATAAATTTGTTCTCTAGTATGGATGAGAACACAATTAAAGCTCACACTCAATGTTACAACTCTCACAACCCTAATATACTATGTATGCAAATACAATAAGCTCAAGTGGGTGTGTGTAACAATGAGATTCAATAAAACTTAACTCAATAAGAACTAGCAAATAGAAATTGATATGAAATTCAATAGTAAAAATGCTAGGAGATAGAGTTAAGGAAACTTCTCTATAAACACAAAGAGAGGATGATGAAATGTTGAAGATGAACTCTTCAAAAGTTGATTGTAAACTCCTCTTTGTAACAGCAAACCAAAAACAAGCTTAAACCAAACAAAAACAAGCTTAAACCCTTGTTTAAAAATTTTGTTTAAAAACTTCTTTAAAAACTTCTTAGCTAGGTTGAAAAGACATCAGCAATGGGGTATTTATACCCTCTAAGAAACTCAGCAAAAACACCCAAAACAAAAGACAAAAGTAGCCAGCCAAAACTGCTCAGAAAATAGCCGTTGAAAAAGCAACGGTCATATTGTCGGTCGACCGAAAATTCCGTCGGTCGACCGATGAGAGCAAAAACACGAAGAAAACGTTCTGGACCATCGTCGGTCGACCGGAAATTCTGTCGGTCGACCGATTTGAGCTCTCGGTCGACCTGACCGGTCGACCGAAATCTGACATATGAAAAACATGTTTTGCTGATTTTAAAACACTGAACTTTTGACCTCAGGTTCGGTCGACCGGTGCGGTCGACCGAAAACTGATATGAAAACTGTTTATCTGATTTTGAAATGCTGTTTAAAAATATCAAATAAATTCCAAAAAATGTAAAACTTTGGGGAATGATTGTAGACATGATAATAAACATGCTATAATGACTGGTTTCGAAAAAGGACTTCCCAAATGAAAAATATCATCATTTTACAAAATAGTCCAAAAACATGAAAACCTGAAAATTGATATTTTGATATTTTGACTTAAACAACATTTTGAAACCTTATGAAATGATTGTATAGACTTGATAAGAGTTATAACATGTTGTTATGAAGTCTATAATCTAGAAATACAATATTTTCATAAATTTGCATATTCTATGCAATATGAAATATAGAATTTCATATATATAACCATAAAAACTCAAAACATATGTATGTATATATATAACTATATATATGCATAGAAACCAAAACTTATATATATATATATGACTATATATATATATATACGAAGAAACCAATAATAAATGTGTGTGTATAGATAATTGAGCTTAGAGTATATAACACACATAATATAAAATCTAAAACTACATTACCCAAGCAATCTTGATCTTCAACGAAGCTCTATCTTGGTAATCTTGCGGATGAAGCTTTAACTTGGATCTTGAACTTTGAATAGCAAGGCTTCACCGATATTCCGCCAACCTCCATTGGATATGATCGTTGAAGCTCTATTCCATCCATCCTCCAACGACGTTGTTTGTCTACAAAACATAGGAATGCACAAACACTAGACAAACAACATTAGTAATAAATTGTTTGTTAAACATCATCAAAACAAGAAGGCCAACAATATTCACCAAACCATTGAGTTATTCAAAGTTAACAGAATTTCAAAGTCTGTTTGGACCTGTGGATAGAGAAGTCGCTTCTGAGGGGGGAGTATTTAAGTCAACAACTACCTATCTCAGCCATCATTTCAACGGTAACCACCTACCCAGCTACAGTAGTTACCAACCACAAAACCAAGACTATAAATAACCCCCAAGCATATTCGGTGGATTTCATCCTTGTAGCAAGAGAAAAACAAAGAGTGAAATAAAAAATAATAATAAATAGCGAGTATTTGCAAAATAGTGTAGTAATTTGAAGTAGAGAGAGTGTTTGTATTAGAAAGAATATTGAGGGTTATACTAGTAAATAAATAATAATAAAATATTTTTTAAAGTTCATCACTCTTCTAAACTCAACTAGTGACATCAGAGCCACTCTCACTCTCACAAATCAACGAGGTCTTAGTGACCTCCAATAATGTGAACCCCGCCACTTCTACTACGTGTAGCTCATTTTACCATATGAAATGACGACCTGTACCCAATATCTTCTCATATAAAATAGGAAAATTCGGGTCTAATTTGCGGAAAATCGTGGAAATGCTTAGACCTTGCACTCTCTAAAATAATTATGTCCCTGCCTTTTCGCCTACAATCTATGCATGAACTATGAAACAAGCAATGGCTTCCTAACAAAAGCGCACATTCAACAAAAGCCGCCTGATAAGGAAATGCTCCACCAATTAATATGTGTCATCATGCACTAAGCCCTTAGCCCATTTGCAACAACCCAACGAGCATTAGGGATTTAATACGCAACTCACTAGTGCTACATTAAGAAACCCTATCGGGTGATAGAAAGAGCACTCATTTTCACGAAAAAAAGGCAGTATGATTATTGCCTATATAAAGATGCATCTGCGCTTTGGAAGATCTCGTCGAGTTCTTTAAGCTAATTTAAGCAACTCATAGGTCTATTACGAAAGATTATTGAGATTGAAAGAGATGTCGATGAGTGAAATGATTAACAAGGCTAAGCCTTTCATTCTCATGGTACTTTTGCAGTTTGGGTTTGCAGGCATGTATACAATTGCCGTGGCTTCACTGAAGCAGGGGATGAACCATTATGTGTTGGTCGTGTATCGAAATGCAATTGCAGCTGCAGTTATGGCTCCTTTTGCTTTGTGGTTTGAAAGGTCTCGCTCCACTGTCATACGCATGGTCATGCATATTTGATAGGGCTATTATATTCATTTCATTCAAAAGTAATTAATATAATTATCCAATTCAATCATTATCTCAGATTTTCTTTACTATTTTTAACGGATTTACTACGATATTTGGTTTGAAAAGATTCATCCCTTGCACAAATTTCTACTTCAGACGCATCTCTTCAGATATCGCTCTATATTTTTTTCTTCCTAAATAATTTTTTTGTAGAATCATATACTCAGGCTTAGTCCTTTTTCCAAAAGGCCATTTCATTATTGTAATATTGATGTTTATGATTGAAAGTCAATTCTTTGAACAGGTTTATTTCATTTTCTGATCTCCAATATTTTCCTCTGTAAACAAGACCATCTACTGAATATCCATGATGTCTCTTTAGCCAGAGGATAATAACAAAGGCAGAATTGAGACAAAAGGATAAAAAAGCCAGAAGTAGCTATTATAAGTTTATTATTCTTCATATTCAGCCTGTCACATCCTTATTCATTTTTTTAATATTTTGCAGGAAAGGGCGACCAAAGTTGACATTTCGCGTCTTTCTCAAGATAGTTGCCTTGGGTTTGCTTGAGTAAGTACTAATCTATCCTCATACCTGATTTTTTTTTTCTGATATTCCACTAAATAGATAAACTTTCTTTCTATTAGGCCTGTGCTCGACCAAAACTTCTGCTACGTAGGATCTAAATATACCTCTGCAGGCTTCGCAGCCATTCTAATCAACATAATCCCTTCAATCACTTTTGTGATGGCAGTCATTCTCAGGTAATAATCCCACATTGAAAAGAACTTTTCTCATCTTATCCTTCTTCTTCCACTAAAATTTTCACCACCATTACCAGGATGGAGAAAGTGAATATCAAACAAATACGAAGCCAAGCAAAGGTTATCGGTACACTTGTGACTGTAGCTGGTGCAATACTCATGATACTATACAACGGACCCGTCATAGAATTTGTATGGTCTAAGGGCAGAGCTCATGACAGCAACTCTGGAGTGAGTAATGGAGGAAACTGGCTCCTGGGGACGATTCTTCTAATCTGTAGCTGTACCTTTTGGGCTGCTTTCTACATTGTTCAAGTAATAATCTATGAGATATAGTATGTTGTATTTTAATGCGCTATGAAATCAGCATGATCACAGTAGTAACGTTTGTTGATGTACGCAGGCAAATACTCTGGAGTCGTACCCTGCAGAGCTGACCTTAACGACATTGATATGTGCGATGGGTGCAGCGTTGAGCAGTGCAGTAACGTTGGTGGTGGAAGGGAAGAATATGGAGGTTTGGTCGATTGGTTGGGATATGAATCTCCTTACTGCCGTTTATTCGGTATGAGCTTCACTCTGCTTTATGCTTCTTCTACTAAACCTATATTTTGAGGTTGTCATGCTTTTTCTTGAGTGGAATGGTTAGTGGTTACCTCTCACGTACCCAATGCGACAAGCTTAATCTGTTAAAAAAATAGATCCACTTTCAAAAGTTAGAGAAGCCACGCTACAACAAAAGTTGTATGTGCCCTCACTTTATTTTATGACACATATAAAAGTGTTATTTTTTTGTAAAAAATTAAACAATAGTGATACAAATGAAAAGTAGTGTAGCAAATCACAAACACATATTTGTGCCATTAGATCTACAATTAAATATAATTGAAAAATGCTAATAGTCCGACTTGGATTGAGAGAAGATCTATTAACGGGTTTCAATGCTAAATTTTATATTTTAATTATAATAATGATTAAACACTTATAATAGTGCATAAGCTAAAACAAACTCTATAATTTAGTGTGCTTTGGTGAGAGTAATTCTAAGATGCATGGGTGACCTCCTGGAAAGTAATAATATTGAATGATGATACTTTTTATAGTCTTTGTGGTCTAGACACAATTATGTGTCACCACTCTGGACGCATATATGTGTCACGAGTTTTGTGACGCTTGTATATGTCACCACGTTCGACATATATATGTGTCCTGAGTTTTATGATACATTCTCACATGTATAGAAAGACGTTCCTCATACATGCACTAACCACACTTTTGGTATGTGTTACGCTCTATTCGTGTGACACAAAAGTATTTCGTGTGAAGATAAAAAAATGTATCATAATTTATAAATTTTGTTGTAGTGGAAA